CTTGAATTGCCCAAGGTCACATAACTAAGTGTCTGAAGTCTAATTTGAACTCTGGCCTCATTTCCTCATCTGTAAATGAGCTGGAGAAGGAAAAGGCAAACCACTCCAGTGCCTTTGCCAAGAAAACCCCAAATGGGGTCACAAAGACTCAGACAGGACTGAAAAATGACTGAACAACAGCAAACTTCCTGACTTCGGGTGCAGCTTGCTTATCTGCTAAGGCACTCAGCCTCCTCTAAGAAGCATGGCTGTGAGGGCTGAAAGAGAGGGAATTAAATGTCCAAGCTGACTCAGAGACGTTGAACCTGAGAAACTGGAAGGATCATAATCCTGAAAAAGGGAAGTTAGGATACAGGAAATTAAAAAAAAAAAGCCCATGAGAACCATGGGCTAATGGAGCTTGAGTTACCCTCTTTTCCTGGCCTATTCTGAGCCAAGAACTGGGTGGCATCATGCTGTATTCTCTTGGTTGTGAAAGTAAATGTTCTGGGGGCAGAGCATGCCTGGGAGAAAGTTCATTCTCCCTCAGTGACTTACTTCCAGAACTGCTGATGCAGGTGCCCCATGGAAAACTTAGAGCACATTCTATTTAGAGACAATTCATCCTTACACAGCATATCTAGCTACTGCTGTTTGCCTCGTTACCCATTAAGGGGACATTTGCATGCAAATATTTTTTTTCTTCTCAGCTCCCCAGGCAGAGTGCTTCAGAATGTCCTGTTTGTCCTGCAATGGTCAGGCTGGAGAGAATCAAATAAACAGGAGGTTGTGGTGAGAGGATTCTGCTCACCTATCTCAAGAAGGGGGGAAAAAAAAAGGAAGTGTGACCAAATTTATTGGCCAGAGGGGTCTATTTTTGTCTCTAATATATCAGTAACTTATCCTAGATTCATTTTCCTAAAATATTCTTTTGAACAATTATTGACCATTGCTTTCCGTTGTATATTGTACATTTAAAATTCCCTAGGCTAACATTTAAGGCCCTCTATAATATGGTCTCCACTTATCTTTTCATATGGAATAGATTGTTAGCACTGGTAGGGATTTTAGCAGATAGAATATGAGAGCTGGAAGAGAATTTTGAACAGAGAATGTAAAAAAAATTCAGAATACAAGTATATGTATGGATATACACTTAATAGCTATGCATATACATATATACACATGTGTATGTGTATATGTACATGTTTATATGAAAATATGAACCATAAAATATTCTATGTGTTATATGTATAAAATATATATGTTCTGTGTGATGTGTTTATGTATGTATGTATGTATACACACACACACACACACACACACACACACATATATATATATACGTATATATATATATTTCACATAGACTGCTTTATGGTTCACACTTTCCACACATTACCTCATTTGGTGCTTACAATAACCCTGTGAGGTAGGTGCTATTATTATCTTCCTTTTGCAGGTGAGGAAACTGAGGCCAAGAAAGGTTAAGTGAGTTGCCCAGGGTCATATGGCTTCTGAGTGTCTGAAGTAGAATTATGGACTCAAACCTTTCTGATTGCAAGTCCAGTGTTCAAGGAGCTTACAGAATGTCAGGGCTGAAAGGCACCAGAGAGCATAGAATTTAGAATGTTAGAGGTGGGAGGGACTTTGGAACAGAGGATATTAGAGCTGGAAGCTTTAGAACATAGAATGTTTGAGCTATAAGGGTCCTTAGGATTTACAGCATAGAATCTTGGATAGGAAGGATACTTGTGTTGCTATTTATTATTTTGATGTCTGGCATCTTCCTTCCCATTCTAGAAACAAGGTGAGAACAGAGACCACACCTGATTTTTTTTATTCGCCATTTTGTTAGGTATGGGGCAGGGAGGAGTAGAAATACATGCTAGAGAGAGTATCTTGGAATTCTGATTTGAGACAAGAATGCCTCTCTAGTAGGTGAGCAGCCTTTATCTACTTGAGTGTGACTGTTAGGCTTCTGAGTGTGAAGGATTTGGCTGGTACAATGATCCCTGGCCAATCTGCAGAAAACCACAAGCTTCAGGAAAGTGCAAGTACTTTTATCTCCTTCACAGATGGCTACCTTCCTCTAACAAGGTCCGCTTCTGAAAGCCGTTCCATTCTGTAAGGACTAGCTCAAATGCGGCCATAACAATAGCTAATAATAGCTAGTATTTATATAGTGCTTTTAGGTTTACATATGTTATCTCATTTGATTCTCAGAATTACCCTGTGAGATGTTATTATCCCCATTTTACAGATGAGGAAACTAAGGAAGACAAAAGTTAAGTGACCTGCCCATGATAACACAACTAGTAAGGTATCTGAGGCAGGATTCAAACTCAGGTCTTCCTCACTGTAAGTCCAGCACTCTAGGCGCTGAACCACACTATTTATCACCTAATCTCATGGTACTTAATATTCTTCTTGTGGTTTTGTGGCATTTATCACATTTATCATATTCTACTTTGTTTGGTGTCCATGTTTGCTAGATTATAAGATCTAGGAGGGCAAGAAACATTACTTATCTGAACTTTGTATGTTTTCCGGAATTGAAAATGCTATTTTACACATAACTGGTATTTAATGTATGTTTGTGGATTTTTTTTAAAAAAAAGATGCTTGTTGATGGATAGGGATTCAGAAAGGCCTGAGTACTAGTCCTGGCTCAGCTACTAGATAGTTGTGTCTTTTACCTTTTCTGGGGCTCATTTTGTCCTCTGTAAAATGGGTAGGTAGTTGGATTAGGTGATCTCAAAGGTCTCTTCCAGTTAGGATATTTTGTGTTCTAAGGTTCCTTCCATTTCTGACATTTCTATATTCCAGCATACACACACCTTTAACCAAAGGCAAGTTCAGTAAATAGTAAATTATGCATTCAATGTTCACTTTGCCTACAGAGCCTAATCAGGAGGGACCTAATTCTCTCCAGGGAGGCCGATTCTGAAAGGCATCGGGACCAGAGCAGGGAAAAGGGAGAAAAGGAGGACTTGAATGAGGTTTGGCAGTTTTTGCTTAGAGCTAGATGGAGACTGAACCAGCCAACGATTATTCCCTGAGGCTGTTTCTTCTTGACCAAAGTTCCACCAATTGGCTGTGGCAGGCTTGGAGGTCAGTGCTCAAAAGTCTAAGGACAGAGTAGAGGCCTGATGGGAATTTATGTTGTTCTCTGATCATTGTCTACTTCAATGTTGACCCAAGAGGCCCAAGATGGGGAGTGATGTGGAGAAGACTATGGATATGATCTTAATTATCTCCACAGATTTTTTTAAAGTGTAGACAAAAATAAGGAGAGGTAGGGATTGAGTAGAATCCCAAGAGAATGAAGTAGGTGTCAGAGAGCAAGATAGTTTGAGCAGAAAATAAGAAATGAAGAAAGTGGTCCAGAAATGCCTTTGGGGAAGAGGAAGGAGAGTCTGGTTCCATCAGCACAGAGGCAGAGGACCATGGAATGACAAAGCTAAGGAGCCTTGGAATATAGACTACTAGAGTTAGATGGGACTTTTGCGTATAGAACACAGAATATCAGAATTAGAAGGAATCTTAGAACAAAGAATATTAGGGCTAGAGGGGACTTCCTATTTTAACTAACAACAAAAGAAAAATTAATTCACTTTACTTTCTAATTATTCATTCATTAATTCAACAAACATTTATTAAATGCCTAATTACCACTGTGAGCCAAGGTTGGGTTGACCCTGTCTCCCTTCATTAGCAGATCATTAGCACTACTAGCCTTTAACCACTGTGCTACCTGGTGGCTAACCCAGATAACTCCACAAATATTTGAGTATCAGTGAGGCAAACTATCCTCTCAGTTTTTCATGGATTTAACTTAAGTGGGGAACCCTGATTTTTTTTTAGCAGTTATTCTAAGAATCAGCGTTGTGACAGATTTTTATTGAAATACATTGGCATAGAGAAAAAATGGAAGTGAACTTATTCTGTTTTGGTAATGGTTTTTGATGTGGTTTTATGACCTGGGAAAAATGAATTTATTTACCTTTGTTAAATAATAGTGTAAATATCATAATGATCTTTTAATTGGGCATGAGAAAGCCTTTATTTCACTCCAGTGGCTTCCTATCACCTCCAAGATCAAATATAAAACTCTCTGGCATTCAAAGCCTTTCACAACCTAGCCTCCTCTTACCTTTCCAGTCTACCTTACTGCCCCACTCCTTTCCCTCCCTTCTCTTCCATCCTGAGACACTGACTTCCTTACTGTTCTTCCAATAAGAAGCTCCATTTCCAGATTCAGGGCATTTTCCCTGGCTGTTTCTCATGCCTGTGATGCTCTTTTTCCTGACTCCTGCTTCCTGACTTCTTTAAGTCCCAGATAAAATCCCATCTTCCTCAGGAAGACTTTCCTGATTCCTCTTAATGCATTTTTTGAGGCAATCATGTTTAAGTGACTTGCCCAGGGTGACACAGCTAGGAAGTGTCTGAGGCCAAATTTGAACTCAGGTCCTCCTGACTTCAGGGCTGATGCTCTATCCACTGCACCACCTAGCTTCCCTTGATTCTGCTTAATGTTAATTCTTTCCCTCTGTTGATTATCTTCAGTTTATCCTGTATATGGCTTGTTTGTACGTAGTTGTTTTTGCTTTGTCTCCTCCATTGGACTGTGAGACACTGAAGAGCAGAGACACTGTCTTTTGCCCTTCTTTGTATCTCCAGCACTTAGCACTATATTCCAGTAATTGGAACTTAGTAGAAGTTTTATACATGTTTATTAACTGACTGACCTTACAGAAAATCTATAAGTACTAAAGACCCACAAGAACCAAGGAGAATACAGACATAAAGCAGTCTAATAGTCTATCAGCTCCCATCTGAGGGACTGGGCTTAGATTCAATGTTAGGACTTCCACTTTTCATTCTGGGAACTTAATCTTTCCCGCAGAGTCCAATGGAGATCTATCTCAATCTTATAGAATCATCTTTTGCTTTAAATTCCCAGTAAAAGATGAAATGCTTTGGAGCTTGTTAAACGCATTTCTTTCTCATAGGACTTGCACTGTTCAAGTAACCCACTGACTTTGATGTCCAAGGAGGATGCTAGCAGGCACCTTTGGGGCTATCTTCTTCCACATGCAAGGAGCGGGACTGATCAAAAAATCTTTCTCCACAAACTCAAGTACCAGAACCTCTGATCTCAGGAACTCCTGACTCGTGAGGTTACTGTCAAGGTGAGAAACATTAGTTTCTTGTTAACTGCTGCCCTGTGTTTCTGCCCCTGCACTATTGCTAATTGGGTAGGGATGGAGAGAGAAAATCTACTCACTCAAATGGTTTTCCTCATAGTGTGCTTGGGTTATAATAACAACAATCAATCAATATCTAACATATGATAAGCTTCTACTATGTGCTAAGCACTGGTAATAGGAGCTGCTGACACACTAGAGTGAATGGCTATGTCATTAGTGAAAAGGGTATAGATGAGACAACCAACAGCAGTGGAAATAGAAGCAGCAAGATTTAGCAACTGACTGGATTCATGGGACAAGTGGCAATTAGGACTTGGAGATAACATCAAGATTATAAACCTGGTAGCCTGGACTGACGGAATAGAAATTTTTAGAAGAGGGCTGAGTTTGAGGGGAGAAAGATAATGAGTTGTATTTTAGATTTATTGAGTTTGATTTGTCTACAGTAATCCAGTTGGAAATACCTGATAGGCAACTTGTGAAGTGGGATTGGAGCTCAGGAGAGAGACTGGGTCTGGATATATAGATGTGAGGCTCATCTGTATAAAGATGCCAATCAAAACAGGAGTTTGTGAGGTCAGCAAGTGATTTCACTTAGTGATAGAAGAGAAAAGGTCTCGGGAGATAACTTTGGGGAGTAAACCTGTGGTAAGGGAGTTTGATAAGGAAGAAAAGTCAGCAAAAGGTAGAGTTCTGAGATACTGAAGAGGAATGGATATTTTATCAGGAGAAATGGGTATTTTATAGGGAGGGAAAATGTCTTACTTAAACAAATTTGGTTTCCCACTGTTTATGTCACAGTCAAGAAGCCACCAACCATCAAGGTTGAATGGGGGATGGAAATGTCTAGCATTGCAGATGTAACAATACAACCTCTCACTAGCTGTGAAGATTTGGTCAAGTCACTTTCCCCTCTCATCTAATAATACTATCTAACATTGATATAGCATTTTATGTTTAGAAAGTGCTTTATCTCCATTATCTCATCTCAGCTGTTCTGTGGGTTAAACAGAGTAGTGATATACAAATTTAATTGATGAAACTTAACTGAGGTCCAAAAAGAAGTGGCATGCTTATTGCCTTCCAAAGTTTGGGCTCTTTGCACTGCAATACTAGGATTAGACTAAGTCCTAGAACTTAGAGGGGCTATGCAGGAGAATTAGTGGGGCCAGTGATGCATAATAATAGGTCCTTTCTTTGTCATGTTTCAGGGAAGCCTGTGTAATTTATTGGGCAAACCCAAGTCTAGGAGCTTGTATGAGGACACAGAACCAGAAAGAGAAAGATACGAGGGCAGCATCCACCTCCCAAACTGGGTCAGGAGCTGAGCCCTCCAAAATTAGGACAGCACCCATCTCCCCAAAGAAGAGGTGATCAACATCTCCAAAGCTCAATGGGGAAGAGAAGTATGCAGAACAACCATGGATAGTGAATGCATAGATAGAGCCTCAGACTCAATTGGTCTTCAGGCAAAGGCAAGAAGAAGAAATCTGTGTTAGTCATGTGAGAGATTGCCCCCAAGATTCTGCACCTCTTTACACCAAGGTCTTGGCCACTGCTCCCACAGTTTCTCTCAGCAGTTTGAGGATGGTGAAGAGGAAGAAGTATTTTATGAGAAGCAGGAAGGACTTAAGCCTGGCTTCTCACCTCATGTCACAATCGGGGAGCTACCAATCATTGAGAATTCATGGAAGACAAATTCTTTTTGTTTTGGATTACAGCAATTTTTTAAATTTAGACTCTGAGACAGTATGTGCACTGAATTAAACAGCATACACGTGGTTTTATGTTTTATTTTCATCTTTTTGTTTTGCCTGGATCCTTTTCATTCTTGTGGGAGTGAGAAGATATATAGACTTCTTTTCCAGTATCTGCTCTGTGGACTTAAATCTAGCCAACAAAACCCTGAGAATCTAGGGTTGACAATTTGCATTTGTTTGTGTCCACAGACTGAAGTCTTTTTTTTTTGTTTGCCCTCTTCTTAGCTATATAATTTAAAAACGACCAAAAAAATGGAAACAGTCAATGTTTGAAGAGTCATGAAAAGATAACACTATTAACCTGTGGAGCTGTGAATTGGTCCAACTATTCAGATAATGCTTTGGAATTATGTGATAAAAATCATTAACTTGTTTCTGCTCTCTCATTCAATGTTTAAACTATCAGTCATTATCAACAAAAATGTCAAAACCAGAAAGATAGGTTAAATACATAACAAAATATTCATAGCACCACTTTTGTGTACATACATGTAGCAGCAAAGAGCTAGGAACAAAGTGAGCAACTATTTTTTAAAATTTATTTATTTTTAGTTTTTGACATTCACTTCAATATGATTTTGAGTTTTAAATTTTCTTCCCCTCCCATCCCCCCCCTCCAAGATGGCATACAATCTGATATAAGCTCTACATATACATTCACGTTAAGCATATTTTCCCATTAGTCATGATGTAAAGAACAATTAGAACTAATGGGAGGAACCAGGAGAATGAAGCAATAAAACAAAACAACAAAGCAAATAGTATGCTTCCATCTGCATTCAGACTCCATATTTTTCCTCTGGGTGTGGATAAAGTGAACAACTGTTGACTGGGGAATGGTTAAACAAATTGGTATATGAAAGCAGTGGGGTCCTATTGTGTAGAAAGAAACAAGTAGTATAAGGAATTCAGAGAAACCTGGGCAGATTTGTATGAACTGATGCAGAGAACAGTTAGAAGAACAATATGCACAATGACTGCCATAATATAAAAGAAAAAAAATCACTAGAATGAAATGGAAATAAGCATTATTAAAATAAGTTATAGTCCTACAGAATAGATAATGAAACATGCTTCCTCCATTTTCTTAGAGGGGTAGGGTGGGGGACTGTGAGGGTAGAATGTTGTATGCATTGTTAGATGTGGTCACTGGATTGGTTATTTTTGCTTAACTTGTTCCTCTGCTTCATAGGAAAGTTCATTTTCCATGTTTGGAGAAGAGAGATATACAGAAATCACTGTGTAAATACAAAAGGCAGCAATAAAACTTACTTAAAAATTGAACAATATGCACAAAAAAAAATATAGGTATACAATTAAAAACATGTATTTAACATAAGCAAATAATTCAACATATATGGAGTGAATCATACCTATTTGTATTGATGAATGAAAAAAATGAAAGAATAAAGCATTTGTTAAGCACCTACAATGTGCAAAGCACTGCTCTGGGGCCACACAGAAAAGGCAAACAATCCCTGCTGGGTCTCACATTCTAATGGGAGAGACAATACATATCAAAGGTTTCATCTTCGAGTCATAGGGAAAGGCCCCATGGTACTTAGGGTGTAGCAGAAAAATGGTTGTTACTGCCTCTTCTTTAAGGTTATTTGCACTGATAAAATAATATTATTTTCTGATGCTGAACCATCTGACAGTGCCAAAGTCCTTGGCAGAAAGAACTACCCTTTCTGAGTACTCAGTAGCTGTGGCCATAGCATCTGTAGGAGCAGTGGCCAGGCTATATTTCCACAGGGCTTGCTTCCCAGGATGATAGCTGAGGGCACTGTACTGGAAGCATTGCTATTCCTAAGGCTTTGCGGTTCACAATCCTGGGCTGTCTCCATCAGTGACTGAATGGAGATGGTGGTCAAGGTGGTAATGGTTGTTTGACTTACTTGGCACATTCTGCTTTCTGTCTCTGTCTCAGGGTGCCTTAGTAGGTGTTATAGTAGATAGAGCACTAGACCTGGAGTCAGAAGACCTGAGTTTAAATCTAGCCTCAGATATTTACTAGTTGTGTGACCCTGGGTGAGTCATTTAACTCCTGTTTGCCTCAGTTTCCTCAACTGTAAAACAGAAATAATAATACCACCTACCTCACAGGGTTATGAGGATCAAATGAGATAATGTTTATCAAGCATGTTACATGTTGCCTAGCACATGGTAGATGCTTAATAAATGTTTGTTCCCTTCTTGATGTTTCAGGTAAACTGGCTTGCTTGCCCTAGATGTGGTAGGTGGTTTGTAGTTGGTAGAGATGGCTGGCCCCTTCTCAACAGGAGTTGCTTCCCTCGGTGAGACTTGGACTGAAAGCAGAAATTGTGGTCTGGGGAGTGCCAGGTGGCAAATTTATAATACTTACCCATACTAGCTCTGAGTTTTTGTGATTCTGTAGTATAAAATTAGTGAAATTTTGATGTGATAGAAGGAATACTGAACACAGAAGATCTAGACTCTGATTTCAGCTCCTTCAGCTGTATCCATCAATCAGTTAATCAATCAGCTTTGGACAATCACTTCTACTTTCTGGTTCTCCATTTGTAGAAGAAAGCCATTGGAATAGCTGATGCACATCAGGACTCCTGTTGTGAAAGATGAAATGACTGAGGAAACAAAGGTTTGATCTTCTGAGTGTATCAATTTATTAAGCAATGTATGCCAATTACTTAACAAACTGAGACCAGACCCCTTCCTCAACTTAGGGCTGGACACCAAAAACAAACACTATCACTTTGTTCCTAGTTCTTGGCTGCTCCACATACAAACACAAAAGTGGTGTTATGAATGTTTCTTTTTTTTTTTTTGCTAGACAATGAGGTTAAGTGACTTGCCCAGGGTCACACAGCTAATAAGTGTTATGTGTCTGAGGCTGGATTTGAACTCAGGTCCTCCTGAATGCAGGGCTGGTGCTCTATCCACTGCACCACCTAACTGCCCCTATGAACATTTCATTATATATTTAATGTATCTTTCTGTTTTTGACATTCCTGTTGATATGACCGATAGTTTAATCATTGAATCAGAGAGTAGAAACAAATCAGTGATTTTTATCACATAACTCGAAACCATTATCTGAATAGTTGGACTAATTCAGAGCTCCACAGGCTAATGGCATTATCTTTTCATGACTCTTCAAACATTGCTTCTATTTTTTTGGTCATTTTAAAATTATATAAATATATAATATATAAGCTGAGACAGACTTTTATACATTAAAAA